AAGTGCACTCTTATTCTTAAAAATATTGTGCATTCTTTAAAGAAAAACGTGATTTTCACTAACGGTTCTAAGAATCAAGCTATTTCTATTTGTTATGATTTTTCAGGTGTAATTTACCTAACTGAGACAGCTCTCCTAATTATAAGCAAGGTCAGTATTGTTAACCACTGTATTTTAAAAAATGCTGTTTGGGATAAAAAGTGAAAAAAAAATAAGTAACTCAGGTCTAAGTGCCTGATCAAGTACTAATTCTGAAATTTTAAGAATATTAATCTAGTTGCAGGAGTGTGCAGACTGCTGGTTGTAACAAGCTGAGGGTTTCACACTTAGATTTAATCTCTCAGATCTATAACTTACAACTTTATTGCACTTCTGAACATAAATTGTTGAGATCAGAGATGATGCGTCTCCAAATTTTAAAAGAAAGGGTCTTACCATCTAGATGTATGTTATGCCATTCTAGAGGTCCCTCTTTTGCTCTTTTATGGTGAATATATTGGGTTTGCCACTTAATTTTGTACCCGCTGGGATACAAAGACACCAGCAAAGACCCCTCCCATGGAGACATGCTGAGAGAGTGGGATTTGTTGAGCCTGTGAAGGCTCTGGAGAAACCTTACAGCACCTCCCAGTACCAAAAGGTGGCTTATAAGAAAGCTAGAGAGTGACTTTTTACAAGGGCATGGAGTTACAGGAGAAGGGGGAAAGGCTTTAAACTGAAAAAGGGTGGGTTTAGATTGGATATGAGGAAGAAATTCTTCCCTGTGAGGGTGGTGAGGCCCTGACACAGGTTGCCCAGAGAAGCTGTGGCTGCCCCATCCCTAGCACTGTCCCAGGCCAGGCTGGATGGGGCTGTGAACAAGCTAGGATAGTGGCAGGTGGCCCTGCCCATGTCAGGGAGTTGGAATTGGATGATCTTTAAGATCCCTTCCAGCCCAATCCATCCTATGACTCTGTGTACACACATATACAGGCCCTAGATCTGCCACTGATCTACTCTGATTTGGCTTACCCAAATTCTTCCAGCTCAGTCTCCTGGAGTCACCACAGTTGTTAAATCCTTCTTGGAAAAGCCATATGAAGACAACAGGTGCCAGAGCCCTCATTCAGGAACCAGCCCTTGCACAGGAAAACAAAATATGTGGCCCTTCAAACTGCCCCAAAGACTCACAGAAAACCCCAAAGCTGGGCTAATTTAAAACACACCAGAATTAGAAACTGAAAGTCCAAGCAGCACAAGGCACCAGAAGGCAGAGAAGCTCTGGCTGCCTGCCCACGTGCTGACTACGTGAAAAGCATTGACCCAGGGGCCCCCAGGAGCCACCGCACAGAGGGCTCAGGTGTTTTATTTCATGGAAATGTGGTTCTGGACAGCTTGAGCTGAGCAGCAAAGGCTTTACAATGCATTGACAATATCCTTTGCCCTCCTGACCCTGTTTATCTCAGCCATTTTATACCAGGCTCTAATGGCCTAATTAAGATACTTTAGCTGGGGCAGTTTCACATTTCCCAGCAGTAAATGAAATCCTGGCATGCCTTAGATCAGTGGGAGTATTCCTGAGAATGAACTTCAGAACCTGGCCAAGCAGCAGGATTGTCTGTCCTTGGTGTGCCTGGGAGCAAAGCCCCACTTGGGACCATTCTGTCAGGAGGGGACAGCTCTGTTGCCTAAACACAGGTTACAGGTTATGTTTGAAATGCCCTTTGGTACCTGAGACGTCCCTGTGCATTGCCAGCAGCGAGGCAGGACTGCTGTGTCCTTGACAGCTCTGCTTGCATGGGGAGAAAGGGGCCCACAGGTTTTGCCATTACAAGAAGGTTAATTCAGGTCACTTTAGAAAATATTTGGCATATGCTTGCCATGGCAAAGCTGGAAACTGATAGGAGTCCTACACTTGCTTCTTCCCTCCCCGCCCAGCCCTGCCACCTCCCCCCAAGGAAATCAAGGCACAAGCTGCACTCTCCTTCACTTCTAGGCTTGCTCATCTTGGCTCAGGCTGGATGGTGCCAGCAGCTGAACGCGGTTGCCAGCTCGCACCACTCCAGTGATATGCATGGACTGAACTGGAAATCTTAATCCAAGCAGAGAAAGCTGTTAACTAAAAATGAGTCTTGTGAAATCAGCAGTTTTGCAGAAAAAGTCATATCCCGAAGGCAGTCGAGTATTTAAGCTTCATTTTAAACAAAATGTTGCCATTGAAACACTCTGATAATCTCATTGAAGTTACCAGGTGACTTGTATGCTCAAAATAAACTAGCATTTACCCACTTTTGTAGACCAGGTCTTAAACTGGTAGAAAGATCACCCTGGAAAAGCAGACCTGAGGAACCCTAGCTCTTCTTGCAGTCAGGAAACATAAGTAGTGACAATCCTCTGGCATTTTTCACAAGCATTAACTCTCGTCTATTAAAAATAATGATTATGCCTCTCTGAGTGCTAGTTTTATGAAGATGGTATCTGGAAAAATTTAATTAAAATGAAAGAGATTTTGCCATAACAAGTCTACATAGGAAAAGATAAAACAGGGTCAGAGATTAAAATGGAACACTGCTTCATTTATCTGGAGCAGAAATACACCAAATTGGTTATTTGGATAAATATGGATATTTTTACTACAGTTTTAACCTTGTAATTACCTGCAGGGCAAAGGTGAGGCTGCTTAGTCAATAACTAACTGGGATATATTTTCCATCAGTTATCTCTGGTAATCTTTTGTTCCAAAGCTAGGAATGCAAGTTTTGCTGTGGAACAGGACCCAGATGCAGGCATCATCAGCTAGTTGACATCTAGCTGACAGATGCCCTGGTGCACATATTCCTCTGTACACTGTAAAAGTGAGGAAGTCTTCTTTTCTTAACTCTCATTTCTAGTACATTACTTATTTTCAGAGAAGAAAATATTCAAGCAATTTCTGCAGTGGTACTTTGACATTAAGTCTCTTTATAGAAGCATTTGACTGTATTTTAGTGCAGGGAAATTTTACCTGATGTCTAGGTCCTAGATTTTGATGTTCGTTCCAGTGCTGAGACACAGAGGAGAAGCAGCTTATCCACAGAGAGGTCAACACAAAAACCCCATTCCAGCACTGAGCACCCACCTTAGATGTGAAAATACACAATATTAGAAGGTCTTCAGACTCCAAAAACTCACCAAGTTAAACAGGCCGATGTCATCCTATTCCTGCTCTTTTTCCACCCCTTACATCTTAGGAAGATGTCTGAATTTCCTGCTCACCTTGCCTAAACAGGGGAGGCTCCTGACAGAAGCTGAGCTTTTTATGCATTTGAAAATTGTCTGATTGGAGAGGTTTTAGTCTCACACCTACACAGCCTCCCTGTTGAAGTTACAGATACATGGGCCACTCCAGGGAAGCAAACTGAACCAACCAGAGGCTTATACAACAGGCAGCATTGATGTTTGTTTTCTCAAGAGCAGAGGATAGTTCTTTCCAGCTGCAGGGGAAAAGGGGGAAGAGGAGAATGCCTCTAACTGTTTTAATACAATAGATGGAGATGGAAGCAAGCCAAAATCCAGTCAGGCACCTCAGAGCTTTAGCATGAAGCTATATGAAAGTCTGGACTCAAAGCTTTGGGTTTGTTTCGTATCTTTCTTATACACAAGTAAAAAAATAACAAAAAAAAAAAGAAAAAAGAAAAAAGAAAAAAATATAAATTCCCTACATTTCAATATTTAAAATCCAACTCTGATTTTAAAGCACATCTGTAGCTGGAGTATTTTTAAAAAACTTATCACGAGTAATGCACAATTAACATCTTACTTGAGGAAGGCCTTTTTTTTTCAAGGCACTCAATGAAGTTTCCCACAGCAGCTGAAGACACCCAGTACTTTGTGGATGTTCATATTTGAGCCAGCCGAGCTCTTCCCTGAGCACAGTGGCATTTGAAAACTCTGGGATGTATAAAATCAGTGTGACTTGGCCCATGGGTTGGATCACAGAGCTCCAGAACAGCTCATTTTGACAGTACCCACACACAGGAATTGATTTACTGCTGGTAGAGCTTTGCTTTACCTATAGCAAACGTCAGAGCAGGAGCTGATTTCTTGAGAGATAGCCAGCTGTGGGGACTCATTTTGCCCTTTTTCTCCTTGTGAGACTTAGCTCTTTCTGATGCTGTTTCAAACAATATGTTGGTGTTGGAGCCATACAAAATACCAAACATCTGGTTAAAAAAAAATTACACCAACAGAATACCCCTCGGGAAAAAGAGGCCTGATGGAGATAAATGTGATTTAGTAACATAATAAAGCAGTGAATCATGCAAAATAAGCGTCATTACTTGGTTGAGAATAATGAGAAAACCAGAATATGGAGCTTTCAGTGCTGGTTTACCTACTCCATTCAACCTGGCTTAGGCAGGAACAGGAAATTCCAGCTCAATTCCTAACACCTTGTCTTGTAAAGGATTTTCCCTTGGAGGGAAACACATTTTTTTTAATGTTAGAAAATGAACACCTCTTGCAGGCGACCTCTTGGGGGTTTCACTAGGAAATGGGTGTAAGATTTGTATCCTCACTGCCCAGGCACACTGGGTCACATCTTGGCGTGAATGAACAGACAGGACAGCTGTCTGACTTGCTCTTTGCTACACCTGAATTTACAAGAGCTAATGTACATGTTAATTCAAGTATTTAAATAATCACTGCCAAAGAAACAAACTTAGAAATAAAGAAAACTGAAGCTATTTGTGAATTAATACTTTAAGTAAGAGAGTATAGATTAAAGAGGAAGCTTGGCCACCCTTGTAGTTGTGGCACAACACAGCAGCTATGTAAATAAACTCCTGAGAGCAGCTCCAAGCCATTCCAGTGAAGATATTTCCCCTTGCCATACATTCGAGCCTCTCGGAAATCAGTTTCCAACTGTTCTACCACCAAAGCTGTCCATTCAAAGAGCCAAACACGAAAATCCAACCAAAGCAGAAAGCACAATGTGCCTTTCTCTGAAAAAAGGGGGAAAAAAAACAACGCAAACCAACCCCTGCAGAAAGGATGCTTTATTTAGAGGGTTCAGGAAGTTGAAGCGTTGCCTTCTATCAGCTCCCGACCGCAGAGCGAGCATCAGGAAGCACACGAAAATGAACTCACTATTCCTGCAGGGAGCAAGTGCCAGCGGCTACAGCGGGTTTGCTTCCAACCTTGCAGCCCTCACTGCCAGCCCCCACAGGCTTGTTAATCAGCCACTGTCTCCCGGGGCTGCTGTGCTGCTTTGCTGCTTCAAAATGAAGCCTTTCCCTAACAAATGGAGGAAGGGGCACATCCCTGGTTTGAATTTTCTCTTTTGCCAGCTGTCCTGAGACTTCAGAAACCTGAAAATGCAGGGGGAAAAGTGAATCATCAGAAAAGGGGGGAAAAAAGCCTGCTATAGAGGACAGTGACTGTAAAAAGCAATTGCGTTTTGAGTGCTGTTGTTAATACTGGCTGACCCGATGGCAGCAGTTACAGTGTGGATACAGCATCAACAATATACAGCACTTATTTAAAATAAATATATTTTAAACCATGCAAGCAATATTCCACGTGAAGTCAATAGTCAATATTGACGTGAAGTCAAAGTTGCCATTTTTTTCCAACTACAAAACTGAGAAAATTTTGCAAAAACTTCCACAGTAGAGTCTAAGAAAAGCAACAGTTCTAGTAAGAGGTCTAAAAAAATGCAGCTGTATTTCCAAGCTGGATAAAGTGGCAATTGTTTAGCAGCTAACTAAAAAAGTGAAAAATATCTGTAATTGCTGTATGATTGCAGTTTAATTGCAGCCATGGAGCTTGTAAAGCATACCTGAGGAAAACCACCCTACCTTTCCTAATTTTATCATGCAAAGCCACAGGAAAGATGCTTCAAACCTGTGGAAGCTTTATGCTTCAGGGCTATTTAAAAAGCCTTGTGCTTTTGATGTTTTTTCTGATCAGCAATTTTTTATTTCCTTTCTGAAAAACTTTTGCAAATAAACAGAGCTCTATTTTTTTGCCAGAATTGTCTCCTTTCACCAGCATGCTGGCTATGTTTGGAGTGAATAAAGAGGGCTATGGACAGCTTTTTTCTTTTTTGGGGCATATTAAAAATTACTGGGGGGGAAATTGTGATCAGTTTTGGTCAAGCAGCTGCCACCAGGCCCATCCTTCATGGGCCACACTGGCATTTCTACTTTCTGGTCCAGGTTCAGGCAAGGAAACATCAGGAAAAACAGCTTTTTTTTTCAGGAGAGCCAGTCTTCCCTCATGAGAGCAGGGGCCACAGATCTTCACCTTAAGCCCATTTTAGCTTTCAGATGGGTAAAATAAACACCATTTTAGGGAGGCAAACAGAAGTCAACAGGCTTTGGGTAATTGGCACTGCATTTCCAGAGAAGTTGTTTAGGGAGTTGTGGAGTCATTAAAACACATTTAAAGCCATTGCTCCTCTCCCTCTCCCCAAGAATTGGTGTTTCTCAGAAATGTGTTGGGAAGGGAAAATTAGAGATCAGGAATTCTATTGGTCACTGTGCCTTGAGATTTTTTTGGATGAGGTGGTCTAAGAAATCCTCTCTGACCGTCTCAAGCCTCCCGTGCCCTCACCTCTGATCGGTGTTGGCTCTTTCCAAGGTCATTTCTACTTTTACCTCTCCCAAATGCAGATTACTTTCCAGGACACTATGGAATTATTTAATTAGCACAGCCAAATGACTGGGCTGTGATTCCAAGTAGACAGAAAATATATTTGATGGCAAATATGGACCAAGATTTGAGGCTCACACCACCATTATTTCAAACTGATTTTATGCTGAGATGAAGGAAGTACCCTATATGGGAGATGTTCTCAAAGGATTTCTGTCATCTCAGCCCATCTGTGCCCAGGAAATGAGAGCCTGACTAAGAATAAGAAAGGAGAAACAATTTTGTTGGCTTTTTTATAAATTAATATGGAATTATGGACATCATCAAAACATTACAGCACATTTGGATTCCCCATAATGGAGTCTCTCTCTTCCTACCAGTCCAGAATGCAGTGGGCTGAAACAAAAATCTTATCTAAAAGTATGTTGAATGCTGAACTGCTAAATTTATCTGGAATTTAAAAAAAATCAAAACAAACAACCAAAAAAACCCTGCATACTCATTACATGGAAATACCTGACTTGCTTTTTCATTTAGGAATGCCTTGTGTATTTTCCTCTGTCTCCTACCAGTATTTAACATTGTATTAAAGGTGTAAAACATGAGTCAGAAAAAAACTGCTTCATGTTCATGCCTTGTCCCTGAGAACTGGAGGGGTTTTGTTTGCATTTATTTTGTGAGTAGTTTTTAAATATGTTCCTCATTTGGGTGTCTTCCTTAGCCACAACAAAAGTTAGCAGAACAGCTGAATTCTGAAAAGCTGAGACATGCAATTTCATATCCTCTGGCATCATAAGATTTAAATAGATCCATGATGTGGATAATTGATGAAATAAATCCCTGTTTCAGTGGATTTCACCTAAATCGGTGAAATAACCTCCTGTTTGATGTTTTGCATCTCTGCAGCAGTGGAAGTTAGAAATATGAAATGCGTTTAGGAGATTGGATTTTGACTAATCCATAGGCAACCACAAACGAAGTTCATTAAAAAAGCAGAACCGTCACCCACCATTTCTATTTTGTCAACACAAAAAAGGAAAAGTTAGCAGTAGATTAATCATTTTACCAGTGAAATTTGTTTTTGCATAAGAAATACAGAAGAAATGCATATTGTTACCGTGTCGAAACTGCTGGAGATGGCTAATAAACCCCAGCATTTAAAATGCACATGGATACATTCCACACTGCACTTGCTATTATCTCTTCAGTGATCTCCAGAGATATTAAAGTGCTAGTTGAAAACAGATGCATGACATAAAAGTGAAGCCTGCCCTCTGACATCAGCACAATTAACACCTCTGTTTCACAACCAGGCTGGGAACTGCCACCTCTTCAGTGGCAGGGACATAAAAACAGCAACAGGAGACGTCCTGTCTGGTGCACACACATATTCAACAGCTGCAAGCACCAAGAACGGGTTCACGATGTGTTGGATTGGATCACATCAGGGCACACTGGATGGGCATTCACCCACAGGTTTATTAGAGAGATTATTAATGTGAAAATGAGGGTGTAAAGGCAAAAGGGGGAAAACATGCCAATTTCTATTAATTTTCTCTTAAGGTACAATTTGCTATCTGACATCTAGGAGAAAAACATACTTCCCGTGGCAACTAGAGGCTGTAGAAATCCCCTGGCAGCTGGCTAGTACAGCAAAAGAGGAACAGGCAAATGCTTCCACGAGGACACTGCTGAACCCCTCTCCAGGACAGGGAAGGGAGCAGAGGGTGTGGTTGGTCCTTGGTTGCATTTCTGCAACAGTGAAAAGCCCCAGCAAGGCACCATTCCTGCAGCATTCCCACACTGGGATGAGCCCACTCCTGCTCCCAGAACATGTTTCCAAGCTGTCATTTAATCATGCTCAGCTCTTCCTCCCCATCACTCCTGTATCTCCTGTTTTCAGTCTCTGCAACAAGGCCACCCCATCCTTCCCTGGCAGGGACAGGTCATGTCTGGCTGCTGCTGCTTCTTGATGTTTTCATTCCTCCTTTCCAGCCCCTAGATCATGCACATGAGCTATGAACAGTGAGAACAGGGGATTTTGAAGGCCATGGAGATAAGCAGCCTTCCCCCAGCACCAAGAATCTTTCAGTGTATTTTGAAAGATAAAAGTTCCCTCTTGGCCAACTCAAACTGGTTTATCCCCCATTCCCACCATAAGCAATTAACGAAACCACATTAATGAACATATCTTAACAACCCCCATGTGAGAAAGCAAACTATTGATCTGAGTAGGGTACAGCACAGGTGAGGAATGGAAGAACTGAAAATCTGAGAGGCTCCTCTCTGAATCTCAACTATTTGTGTAAAGAGACTTACATCATGTAATCCAAAGGCACAGTGGTGGTATCTTCAAGTCCCAAGCTAGTGCTTGAACCACCAGGCAATCCTGGCACTAGGAAATCTGATGGATTCCATACTTTAAATCCCAAGGATACAACAGGACAGGGACGGGGTGTTTGTTTTAAGCCCATCCCATAGAAAATGAGGATGCAGGCTTGACTGACAGGTGTAGTCCTCTACAGACAAATTTGAATAAATAGAGTTCTTACCACAGATGTTCCCCATCCAGCTGCCAGTATCTGCTCATCAAAACAACTGCTCAGAAACTCCACAGAACTGGAGGCAGAGAGCCCAGAGGGAGCAAACTAGGACAGGTCAGACACAGAATATTCCTCCAGGGTGAATACTCCTCCAGCAAGTTCTGCACATGGTGCAGAACCCCAGGAGGGACTGCTATGGTTTATTTTGTGTTACAAGTTTTCATTTCTATTTTCACAGCTAGCATGGAAGCATGATTCCTTTATTGATGCTTAAGTTGAGAGGGTTTATATTGCAAGGTGACAACCCCTACTGAAAGGTGTCATACACATGGCAGAGAGGGAACTTCACATGGGAGGTGCAGAACTTTGGGAAGGGCAGTGTTTGCTGCTTATTGGCAGGTATCCATCCCTCATCTCCCTCTAAAAGGTAACCACACATTACTCTACAGAGAAAGGAGGCTTGTTGCTTTCCTTCAGATGCCAAACTAGTAATTGGCATTTGTTCTTCACAGTGAATATTAATTCTTCTGCCACAGTGCCCTTGCCAGTCATGAGGACCTCAGCATGATGCACATCATGCATACCTCAGGCAGTAATTTCATCTTTACATGTGACCTCAGGTGAGGGCTGTGACAGAATAAGGAAAAACCAGCACACATATTGTTCAGCCCCTGAAGTGCAGAAAAATGTTTACCATTTTCAGTGGGCTTTTATCTAAGTTTCTCACCTGCACGTGGTGCCCACTGTTCTATCACAGACTCCCACGTCTGCACACACAGCCTCAGCTGCTGACAAACTCCACATCATCACACATCAGTTCACTGCTGCAACAAGGATGATCTGTATTCCCTGAACAAAATCTGTGAACTTGCTGCAAAATTCTTACAACCCGTTTCCAGAAAAGTACCCATGTACCACACAACACACAACAATGTTAACAGCAAAGAGATATCCACAAAAAATGAAAAGCAGGATTCAAATGAAAGGGAACACCCAACAAACAAAAGAGGCAGCTTATGTGTTTCTAAGAAAGTTAAAGATAAATGGACATAAACAGAGAACACAGGGAGCCATGCCCGGCTTGTTTGTGAGTGGAATTAACTGACTGTGTATTGCATAAATCTCAGAGTAAATGAGATACACCAGGGAGATCTTTCAAGCTCTTTACTAGTAGTAAATCAGCTACTTTTCATTATTTCCATATATGCTGTTACTGGAAGTGTATTCAGCTAATTTTTAAACAAAGTACTTTCTGTACCCAAATGGCAAACAAATACCTGATTAAATGGAGAGATAGCATACCCAGAAGATTTGCATCTATCTAACATCACCTCAAGTCATGTAATTATGCTTTGTAACACCACTGCAAAGGGCTTGAACTAAAATTTCCTAAAGACAGAGATAGTAATTGCCCCAACATGAGGTTCCTAATTCATTTTTAAGTATCACACACAATCCTCCCCTAGGGGTGTTGTGATGCCTGAAGGTCCCCCAGTCTCCAAAACAGGAGTAAGTCTAACTTTAGCCTTTTGCACAGTATTTTGTGTTTACTGATATGAAAGTGTTTTGTGCAGGGTTTCTTTTGCTCTTCCCTCACAAATCTGTGTGCATGAAACCAAGGGCAGAACCAGAGGCCACAAGCCATCCTTGCTTCACCTTCACAGTGAGATGCAGCAAACCCAGAGACAAATTGACAATCACACTCCTGTCACCCACTTTTCCATCACAGCCACCAGCTCCACAGCACAGCTTCTGGACCTTCAGAACCATGAAAATTCTACATCTACAAAGTGCCCACTTCTGTGCTTCCTCTCAGGAGCACTGGGGGTAAGACAACAGCTCCAAACCTGCAGGAGGATGATACCAGGCAGGATAGGTAAGCTGTGACTGCTCTGCAGCTAGCTTAAGCATTACACTTATGGCACAGCTATTTGGGAGAGGGAAGCATTACTAGTCATGTCTTGGATTAGAGAAAGGGAAAAAGGGAAGTAAATATGACATGGAGTGGAAAATAATTTCGCTTGTGGCACTTATTTTACAGCATTTATTGATGATGGTTTAAAAAACATTTGCTTCTAACACCTGCACATCCTCTAAGATATGGCCTGTTAGGATGGTAAATAAGCCCTGTGGTAATTAAGTCTCCCCTGCTCCACCAAACACTTTGGGCACTATGTTTGAGGAGTTAGCTTCCAGCCTCTGCCTCAAATTTGCTGCCTCATCCATCCAAAACCACCTGGCCTCAAGCATGGGAGAAATCTTGAACTCCCAGCTGGAGAATATTCCTAATGTAGACAAAGTCCAAATAATTACATTCCTCATGCTCAATTACATTTATTTGCTACCTGCTCAACAGATGAGAATCCTACATACAAAGACATACATAGGAAACCTCTTGCAAAACAGATCCAAGGACTGCCTCAAAATAAAGCTCCTTCCTCCTTCCCAGCTCCCATTAACTGCTCTGTCTCTGACCAACCCAAAATTACACTGGCTAAGTTGTCTAGAAAGAGGAACCCTCTCCAAATCATGTTTGTCTTGGGGGGATGAGACAGATGATGTTTCTTCCAGCCTTTCCTCAAATCACTCCTGCCAGGGACCTCTACGGGGCTGCAGCCAGCTAAATCCTTGGAAGAGGGGGAAGGTCCTTTCCAGACTCCCTAACAGGATAGTCCCAGCACTCAGCAACAAAGTGGTGCAGGGGTTGTTAAGGGTTAGAACTTTTCTCCTATCAGAAGGAAAATAAGGAGCGAACCAGACAGAGGCTCTATTCCATGACATGAAACTAAAGTTGGTCCAGAGCTCATGATAAAACCAACTTCCATCAAAAAACAAAACAAGCAAGCAAACAAAAAGACCTCCACAAGAATAAAACCTACAATATTAACTGCACAAATGTTCTCCAGCAGTCTGCCACACCAGGATTGGCATGTGGATGCTGATGCTTGTACCTCTCTGATAATGCAGCTCAGAGGTGCAGAGTGAAGGCACAGAGAGGAACCACTCAGAGAACAAACCAAAGGCATGACAGGCAGCAAATCCACATGGCTCCTTCCCCCAAGAAACTGCCAAAGCTTATAGAATATCATGGGGAGAGCAGACACGCCTTATCCACCTCATGGATTCCCTAGACTGTCTAGAGGATTTGTCACTGCACACGTACCTGGTTCTCGTCTCTGCTCAAACACCCATCCCTGGCCACTGCCGGGGGAGAGGATTCTGAGCCAGGTGAATCACCAGGTGTCCTCATTCTTGCATTCCTGTCACTACAGAAGAAAATGGCTCAACTTTAGCTGGTTTTAATAATTCTGATCTTAGTTCCACTTAACTTGTTTATAAATTCTAAGTTTATAAGGCAAGCTACAACAATTTCGGCATGCAGCTTGCAAAGTGAGGATCACCACTACCATCAGCTTACCTAAGGAAAAGCCAACCAAATTGAAACACACACACACCATAGATAGATAGATAGATAGATAGATAGATAGATAGATAGATAGATATAGATGTACACATGCATGGAGGGAGAGTCTTGTTGCTACTAATGGACAGAATTCTCTTTGGGATTTGTCCTCAGTTGCAGCTGAAGCCTAGGACGAAGCAGCCAGGCTCTGCAGTACTGTTGAACACTTTCACGCAGTGGAATTCAGACTGGTTTGTAACCTGCATGCCAAATTCCATTCTCCTTAATATCATGTCATCCTCTTGGTTTTCAGCTGGGTTATCTCTTTGCTTGAAACTAAAATTGAGAAAATAAAATAGTTGAGTCTTCTCTGTGGCTTATTAAAGGTGGTGTCCTATTCCAAGGGTTGGACCTGAGCAAACATTGGAGAATCTCATCATTTTCTGTTACACCACAAGGGAGAACTGAAGTGATGACAAGGGCTGTGGTCTGCCAGCTCCTGAAGCAAAGCTGCAGCCTGGGGAGAACCACCTGATGAATTTAGGCCATGTGTACTAAATGAATCTCTGAAAGCGCAGCAATCCCCATCACCACTCCCAGCAAATGTCTCAGACAAAACTTCCCTTCATGTTTGAGCTGGAATTTAGCTGGAGCAAAGAATGAATGAATATCATTTCTTGTTGTTTGAGTAGAGAAAGACACTGGTGATACCTGGCAGGTCAAGTATGCCTGTCCTGCCTCCTCCTGTGTCCCTGGTACAGGAACCAGCTGTAGAGACAAGATGTTTTGCTCAGATCATTCTCAGTAGACTCTCCTGTTTACCCTGTTGGAAACACCGGTATGTGGAGCGTGCACCTCTGTTTTACCCGCACTGGCAAAAACACACAGTGGAGATCAAGAGATTAAAGAGAAAGCTTTTTCAGCATTCTGGCTAGCTGCTCTGGAAACCCTAGGAATTTGGGAGCAAGGATGTGCATAGACAGGCCTGGAGCACTTCAAGCAGCTGTCGGCTTTGCCAGATCACCTCCTTCTTTCAGCTTCCTTCTTCCACCAAGCCAAGAGTGAGGACAAGACATCAGACTCCTTTAAAAAAGAAGAGATTAAATTAAAAGCAGTGTGGTTATCCCACCACAGAGCAGCCCCTCAACAAGCACAGCTCTTGAAAGCCAGTGCTGCAAATGGGAGATTGAAGGAATTGGGGTTTCTGACTTGAGTTAGGAGAGGCCCTTCCCTCACCCACCAGCAGGTTCTCCTCAAAGCTGTGAGCTGACACATCATTTTCAGCATCATTTCGTCCTGTGAGCCGTGCCTGGGTCAGCCTTCCCAGACTTCCCACACAGTCATTTGCAGACCTGCTCTACCTCCAGTTATCCGCAGGGGATCATAGAGCCCCTGGTTTTGGGGTAGCACAGGTTTACAGTCCCCAGTACCCACCCAGCAGCAGTGGGTCTAGTGGAATTATTTAGGATTTATATAGAATCATAGAATAATTTACGTTGGAAGGGATTTTAAAGATCATCCAGTTCCAACCCCCTGCCATGGGCAGGGACACCTGCCACTATCCCAGGTTGCTCAGAGCCACATCCAACCTTGGACACCGCCAGGGATCCAGGGGCAGCCAGAGGTTCTATGGGCAACCCATGCCAGGGCCTCACCATCCCCACAGGGAACAATTTATTTCATGCCTGGATTCAAGGTGGAGATTCCTCTTGATTTTTCACATGCCTGTTGTGTGCTGGTGAGGCAGAGCTGCTGTGCTCACCCAGACTGTTGTGGGGCCAACAGTAATCCATATCAAGGAGACACAGATAGATTTATACAGACTCTTTCATTCAAAAATGCAGTCAACCAAACAAGCAAGACTGCAGCCCTTCTTCACCTGCCTGTACACAGGTGGGGGAAGGAAAGGGGATCACAGGAACTTTTGTAAAAGCACAAAGGGAATTCTTACAAGATGATTTCTGAAGCTCAAAAACTAGCTTGATCTTACAAGGTGTTTTGCTCCCTGGTATTACAGAATAGTTACAAAGAAAACACTCTTTTCTAGCTGAAGCCCAAGCTGCCTCTGGATAGAAGTCACAGTAGTACAGATGAGGACATGGCCTCTCCTGGACCACTGCAATGTTTAACTCTTCCAAACTGTCCATTTTTCCTGCACTTTCTGACTGTGTTTTCCATAGTCTCATCATTTGCCTGTTTTTCATCCTCTGTGACCACTGCAGTTTTCTTTCTCTACTCTCTGCTCCTGGGCTTGTTTCTGCCCAGGCAAAACCAGCAGCCAGGCTGTGGCAGATCAAAAGGTCTGAGCTGTCAGTATTCAAACCAGCTGCACAGCAGATAAAAGCAGTTTTCCCATGCTCTGCTCACTGCTCAGACAAGGAAAGGCCATTTTACCATGTAGCACTTCATTGCAAGAGCCCCTGACAACATGAACACCCCAGCAGAAAAATCTGACCCCTCTTACTACGCCAGCTTCACTCTCTTTCACCCTTCTCTAGTAAACCCCAGTTTGGAGACTCCAGTGCAATAAAAATTGCTGGAGAAAAGAAGTCTTCAAGCATAAATCCAGCACAAAGCCTACAGCAGCACCTTAAGCTCTCAAAACAAAGAGAGCTTACAGGTGTCAAATTCCCAAGGACAAATATTCATCTCACTTTAATTTTCTGAGATGTAATTTATCTACTGAAAACAGAGCTGGTTAATCCCTGTGTGTATCAGCTCTTAAAAAAAAAAAATAAAAAATTATTTTCCTCCTCCTTTTTATGAGAACAACCAATACCAAGGATTTCAGGTTCTGTTTTTTCACCCATGGTAAAAAACAAAACCTCAGATCTAAAGACCATGAAGCTTTAAGGGAAGGTATTTGGTTTCAAACATTGCATGTAAGGCAACTCTTAAAATCTTTCTGAGGAAGAACACCCAACACCAGTATTTTCCTTTCTTTGACACAGATAATCCCATGGAAACACAAATAAATACTTATTTTTCCCCTCTTTTCAAGAGAGATGCCTCACACAGGAATTTTTTACTGAAACTGAGGGGAGAAGGGGGTTTAAGCATATTCTCCTGGGTTGATACTACCTTGGTGACGCCAGGACTCGAGCCCCTTGCTGCTCCTGGCAAAACGAGCAGTTTGCAATAACTCTTCCTTGCTTGAGGCCAGGCTGGGCTGGGTTTTAGGGCTTGACCATGTCAGAAGAAAAATAAACTTTTATGTTGCTCTGGTCATCAAGTAAAATACTAAGGAGGTGTAGATTGACAAAATAATCATACTTTCAACAGAAATAAACCTTATCCACATGACACACTCATGAAATATTCGTAACCACCCACCTCCAAGGCCTCTCCACGGCCACTTAGGGCTTGCTGTGAAATTGTTCTGAGGGAGAGGACAAAAAAAAAGAAGTTATCGGCAGGAATTCTGTTAATTGTCACCAAAAGGCTTTCGCTAGATCATTTCCTGTGCCCTGGATCCAGCTGGAAGCGCTCTCCTTTGGGAAGGCCGGCACACAATCACCCGGCCCTGCTGCTCACTGCCAGACAAATGGAGGAAACTGCAGCCTATCATAAATCTGTCAGTCATGAACCAAATGGGCATCATGAGGGCTGGGCTCCTCTTCCCCCCAATTATCACTTGGCAGGCACACAGAAACAGAGCTGGGAGATAAATGGCTTTTTTCAGAGGCCTGGTCCCACAGACTCGGCCTGGAACCACAGAACAGCCTGGGTTGGGAGGGACCTTAAAATTATCCAGCTCCACCCCCCTGCAATGGTCAGTGACACCTTTCACTATCCCAGGTTGCTCAGAACCCCATCCAGTCTGGCCTTGGACACTGCATGGATCCAGGGGAAGCCACAGCTTCTCTGGGCAACCTGTGCCAGGGCCTCAGCGCCCTCACAGGGAACAATTTCTTTCTTACATCTGGCCCAACTTTCACCTCTTTCCATTTGTACCCATTACTCCTTGTCCTGTCATTCCAGCTCTTGATGCAGAGTCCCTCTCCATCTTCCTTGTGGGCCACTTCAGATCCTGGAAGGTGCTGTGAGGTCTCCACACAACCTGAACAGCCCCAGCTTCTCTCAGACCGAAAGCTGGAGCGGTGAAAGAGGCCGATCCATTGAGGTGTGGGATCAGGGGAACCTCAGGAGACCTGCCCACAGTCCTGCTCTGCCACTGGTCTACAGGTGAGCTTAAAACATTTCTCCTTTAAAAAACAGCAATCACTCAACCAACCACCAAAAAAAACCCCAACCAAAACCCAAAAAACAAACAAAAGAAAATGCAAATCTTAGCAAAACCAAGACCAACCCTTCTCTTTAGGTGTTTTCAGTGGATGAGCTAAAGATAATGATGTCAAGTAGTATTATTAAGCTAATTTATTTAATGCAAGCTGATCATCACTGTTTTGACATGTCCAGGCAGATTTAAAAAATAGGAAAGTAGGTAGAAACAAAGAAAACATTTGTGACTTTCAGTAACAGAAGAACCGTTCTGAGATTCCTTTCTCCAAGCAGCTGGTCCTACAAAATGTCAACATTTTCCCAATGGCTTGGTGGCAATTACAGATCAACAGAGGTAAAGCCACAGTGACAGCCAGTCCTGAAGTCAGCAGGGCAAACCTGGGGTCAGAAGGGAAATGGAGACACCAAGAGGCAAATGGCAGGAGCTACAGAGGAATCTGGGACAAGCAGGGAGGCCTGGAGTCCCTCTGGGATGTGGGCAAGGGGAGTCAGGGTCAGGGGTGGGCAGCGAGATGTGAGGAAAGCCCTTGGATGTAGGCAGAGTCCTTTAAGTAAATGTTGTGGATGCCAGAGGTTGCTAGGCAGGGACTCGGTGGCTGCCCAACAACAGGCACACAAACAAACAAATAAATAATAAATAAATAAAAGCACTAAAATGCTTTGCTGGTTCCTGCCAAGGGCACCTTGGACAAAGGCAGATACCAGCATCCAGGGTGGAGCTCAGTTCTGCTGGCTCCCGGTCCAGCACCCAGCCAGGAGGTCGAGATGCCACTCTCACCCTGCTTTCAAAAGGAAACAACAGACAAAGCTGTTACCCTGGAAACTTCCAGAGCAGGGGCTGTTGCAGGAACAGACATTACGTATGCAAATGAAAGCATCCAGGCACAACAGCTTAGGGAAGGAAAAAAAAAAGTGCAAATAGCCAGACTAATATTTGCAGAAATAAGTGCCTGAAGTAAGGCTTCCCAATCCAGAGCTAGGACTTTAAATAGATTATTTAGTTTGCAGAAGCTCTGAAAGACTGCAAGAAAAGAGCTTGAACTTTTCATAAAAACTTAGCTAGTTTACAAAATTGCAGCACCTGCCTTATTACAGCACCAAAACCTGCTGTTGAGACCTGGCATAAAAACACAGCCCCACAAAAACCTCTGCTGTCTTTTATAAGAGTGGCTCCAAAGCTCAACTCAAGGCTTTTTGCATTATTTCATGCATAAATTCATTTCAGGCACATGGCATCTATACAAACTAAATGGGTTTGGTTTTCTCTGTCCCCCAAACTCAACTCAATTTATAGCTCCCTCACTTTCCCTCTGTTAAACTCAGTCAAAACCTCAAGAGCTGCCTTTCCACCCCTCTTTTTTTCTCCCTATTATACTGATAAGCCTCCATAAAAACCCTGGAGCGCCTCAACATGAGTCATGCACATACTTACCAGAGCCTTGGAGCAAGTCTCAACCAACTCTAAAATGTGACAAATTGGCTGTCTTTAATGCTCACATATTAAATATTTAGGGATTACTTTCAATCCCCTATCAAAGATCTGGCTTCATCACTGATAAATCATATAATTCCTGAAAGAGATGGAAGCAGTCACAGCTGCCTCTCTGTAGAGGCCTCAATCATTATTTTCACAACACTTTCCCTGAGCTGTGGTTTTCTAGGCAACACTTCACCTACAAAAGGACAACTGGCATAAACTGAAAAATAATAGAGGCAGAAACTGAATCCCACCCATAACTCTGGGCAACCAAAGGAAGCTGTAAACATTGTTAAGAGTGAACATAAACACTACATTTCTGTAACTGTCATAGAAACCCCTTTGTTTTAAATTGATACCATGCTTTCTTCCCCTCTTTTTTGTTACTCCTTTGCAACTGAGGCAGCCCAGCCTCAAGTGCTTTGCTGAGGATATGGATTTTTATTCTGCTCAAGTGCTTTTAGCAATAGCAGGAGCAGCTTGCCCAGACAGCTCCAAGGGATGCAGAAAACAAATGGCCTTTTTCAAAATAGGCTTCCAGGGACTGACTTCCACCTCGGTGTCATGAGGAAACAAAGCTTGTGCAATTGCAGTATTGCAGCCTGTCCCCTCCAAGAACCCGGACCTCTCCCCAGCCAGAAAAGCCTGATCCCGTTATTAGCCAGTTTAGAGCATTGGGAGCAGGAGGGACCTTATTGATGCCTTGGAAATTATGTTATTTCAAGATTTATTTGAGAACTAGAAGTTGGCTAAAGGACAGAAATTCAAAACCATGTCCCCACTGAGGGAGGAAAAAGCCAAAAGCAGCCCTGCTCAGCTCCTGGCTGCCCTTCCCCGTGGAAAATACAGCAGAGGACAAAGCTGAGATCATTAAGTCAGAAGAAAGGGAACTGCAGAAAAACCTGAAGGAAACCAGACTCCTGGTCCAGACTCAGCTGCACCACTCACACAGCGATTTGTTTAGTCAATTGCCAAAGTAAAACAAACACCAAAAGAAAAACATCTGGGAGGATAAATTGGTGAGAGGGTTCTGGCTGTAAATTTCCTTCCTTTCCCCCATCAGTTAACAACAGCCTCTCAGCTTCTGCCACACAGAAAGGCACGGGGGCTCAGCTGTTATTTACTTTTTGGAGAGAGCTTTAGGACTGGCTTTACAAAACAAGCAGAGGTGAAGGAGGGATAACAGCTCAGCTGCCCGGTTTTCAGCACTTCTGGAAGAGCCTAAGGGGGAAAGAGGTGCTCTGCACACCCAGAGCCAGCCAGCCTCTCACCCACTGGGCACCGCTGCCATCTCCTCTGCAGCTTCCCCATCACTTCCAGGCACGACTGACTTCGCTCTCCTTATCCACAGCTGATCACATGGAAATGTGACCTTTTTTCCCTTCTTTCCAGCAGAGAAGAGAGAAATGGTCTCATATGAAGACCGAGCAATGTCAGCATCACCTGTGTTAGTAGAGTCCAGCACTGGGTTTAGCAGAGAGCTGTGAGCCACACTTGGGACTGGTGCCAGGGGCAGGGAGCTCTGTCCCAAACTGTCACATCAGCTGAGAGCCAGGTGAAACTGAGCCCATTGAGTGAAGCACAGACCATTTCAGTGTTCTTACAGCAGCTCGTCTGAGAGCCTGCTCTGGGAAGGCAGCATCACCGGCTGAATGCAAAGGCTGGGCCCAGGAGCAGCAGCAGGCACCATAAATAAGGTCCTGTCAGCCTGGCCATTATAAGCCCTGTACTCCTTGTTTGGTACATATCCCACCCCCTTTTGAAAAACCACACATGGTTGGAACTTTCACACCAGCTTCTGTCCTTCCCTGGGGTTTGTGGAAACCTCAGCTCTGCTCAGACTCCTCTATTTGACCAAAAAAAAGGCAAAAAAACCAAAACAACAACAAAGAAGACTTCAGCCAATAGCTCTTTTTGCCATGCAGCACAGCTCAGAGTAGTCTCAGTTGACAGGATTTCTAAAATCCCTTTTGAAGTGACAGCCCATGTTGGTATTAACAGCTGGAGAGAGATGCAGTTTTAATGGGGTTTTAAAGGTTTGTAAGTCTTACAATGAATTTAACAGGTGTAAAGGCAAAAGCCTCTTTTATGAGCAGCTCTAGCACCTTCTCCCATCTCCCTTCCCACAGAGCAGTGCTACAAACAAAACCTTCCTACAACAGAGCATCTTTATTCAGGCCAACCTAGTGATCTTTCCCTTAACAGCATTATTACATAATTAATAACTTTGAAAAGGCCAAAATTTAATATTACTTCAAAGTTTATGAAAATATGGTCTTTCATGTAAAAATAAATTTGAATTTAACACATTTCCCTCATTTTCAAAGAAGCTGAAATGGAAGACAAAAAGATGGTGCTTTAGAAAGTGAAATCATTGAAGTAAATTCTTTCTCCTCATTTTTTAGCTCTCCCAAGGGAAAAAAAACCAACAAACAGCTAAGATGAAATAGTGAGGGCTTGTCTGAGCAGGAAAGCTTTATCTGCTAGATATGTAGCTGTAAGTGCTTGAGTCCTTTTAGTATAATCTTTTCCAGCTCAGTTTAATCAGTTTGCAGAGTCATAAACTGAGCTTTAAAGAGAAAAAGAGAACCATAGCTTGGGAGGGAAAAAAAAGCTTATAGCAAAACAACAGTGTTCACATGGGTAGGTAAAACAAAATTTAACCTTGGTATAAAATCATCCCTTGACTTTCATGTTTAAACTTTCCCACATACACAATTTCTCAGAGGAAACATAAAGGTTTGGGAGGGAAGTGGGGTGGGAAGTGAAAATACTTTCCCACTGCTAAGCAGAATGAGAAACAGCAGCAAGTAAAGACAAGGTTTAAGAAGCAGCTTTCCCTCAGATGTTGCTCCTTTTTCCTTTCCACTGTTTCTCCCATTTGTTTTAAAATAAGAGCAAAAGAAATAAAACCCGAGGCAGACACTTAAAGATAAAACACCAGCATGATTACAATTAATAAAATTGGGGGTGGGGAGGGGCTGCATTATTATTTTGAAGAAAAGGCATGAAAAGAAACCCAACCCTTATTCTGACACTTATCCCAGATACCAAACCTTAACTTTCTAAGTAATTAACATTTGGCAACACAGGAGTACCATGGTTGTGACACACAGGTTGTAACATACAGGCTCCTTTCTCCCACCAGATTAATTTCCGTCTTTCCCAACACCCAGTTTCCAGGATTCTGCCTTCCAGAAACAGGCAACGTGTTAATTGCCACATTCCAAGCAAAAACATCTCCCACATCTTGCACGAGACTCAATGCACCAACAGCCAATTTTCAGGCATATCTCCACAGGTTTCTAGGCAACCCCAACACAGGAGGCTATTCCTGGAATTTAATGGAAGTCAAAGGTGGAAAACACATACTGGACAATTCAGCAGAACATGTGCTACTAGCAGGCTTCCCATTATGTCCGCACAAACCATTCTGACACTGCCTGGCAAGTTATCAACATATATGGATTCCAGGACTGCCAGCACTGCCAGCTTCAGACATTGCAAAAATAATGAATCAGGCCACCAAAACACTGTTCTGAAGTCACCTCCTGCTTGGTGAGTTGGCTGGGGCTACTGGGAAAAGATCTAGGTTTCCTTTGCAGCAGAGAAGCAGCCTGGAATATCAAAGACACTTGAAAGGAAGTTAAAATTGCCAAGCAATTACTTGATTCCAGGTGCTGGGGATTTAACAGATACAAAAAACAACCTAATCAAAAAAACATTACCTTTATGTTGCAGGCTGTAAAGCCATTCTGGGCTATTTAGAATGTTGCAGGAGACCCTAAACCCTGCCAAGCAGGTTTCCTAAACATGGACAGAGAAGTATTGGACATTTGTTCCCCATTTCCTCTAAGAAAGAGTGACAAGAGAGTGCCTTAGGCAGGAGCAGCACAGGGAAACAAGACAGTCACAATTTCCATTTTAAAAGATCATCTGAAAAGAAAACAGAATATAGTGTACCCTTCAGCTGTGTCCTTCGGTGTTTTAGATAATGATTAAGGGGTATTTCTTCCCCCAGTTTCAGAGTCATATTTGTATAAATGCAGCACACACCTGTAGGAAAAAGTGTCTAAAGCTAGAAGTGAAGCAAAATAAGTAAGTTATTTTTGTCTTTACAAGTACTTACAGGTACCCCAAAAGATCCTGTTTCATTCAGTTGCCCACCTTTATCTCTGCACCCTGGTCATGAAATCACATGAGAATGGAGTTATTCCATAAAACTTTTGATATTTCTTGGTTCAGTGTGGGGAAGATTAGCTACATTTGTTCCCAAGTTTGCCTGCATTTAGACAGAGAGTAACATTTGAGTTTCAGAGAATCATAAAGAGACCTTAAGGATCATCCATTTCCAACCCCTGCCATGGGCAGGGACACCTTCCACTATCCCAGGTTGCTCAGAACCCCATCCAGCCTGGCCTTGGGCACTGCCAGGGATCCAGGGGCAGCCACAGCTTCTCTGGGCACCCTGTGCCAGGGCCTCAGCACCCTCACAGGGAACAATTTCTTCCTCATATCTGATCTAAACCCACCCTCTTGCAGTTTGAAGCCGTTCCCCCTGTCCTGTTACTACGTGCTCTTGTATGAAGTCTCTCTCCCATTCTCATTTTTGTTTTCATCAAAAGCCATTTACCCAACAGACTGCCACGTGCCTCTGTTGCAATTTAGCAAGAACAATTCATTATGAGCTCAGTAATTATACAACTGTGAAGATTACAGGGAGGCTCCGGGGAAATTTTAAGAATCTGATTATTTTAAGCAATTGCCCATTTATGTGAGGTTTCAGTAAGTTTATACCCAGAACATCACAACAGTAAGCAGTGTGAAAATATTCTGCCTCACCTGACACTGCAGAGTAAATACATGACATCTGCCTCTGTCAAAGCCAGAAGGACAAATGTTACTAAGGAGAGACAGGACCCAAACAGGTGAAACAGTCACTGACATTCCTTCACCTGAAGCAAAGGTGTGTCCATAGGCTTTGGATCCCTGAACTGGGCAGATGTTGCCCCTCCAGGGGTGGTTTGGAGTACTGTCAGCTCACAGCAACCAAGTATTCCCATCATTTCAGAGCATGCTGATGATTCATGCATGGTTACATGGTAATATTTACTCAGCTCTCAGGAGGCAAATTCATTAGGAGGGATTAGTCAGCTGTCAAGCACCCATTCCCTTGCATAAGAATGACATTCCCTAAATAAAAGTCCTCATCTGCAACTTGAACTTTTGCCTCACCACCTATTCCCTCTTTTCATACGGGGTGAATGAGGACTTGTCATTGTTTTCAGGGATTGCAGGAGAAAGGAACATGGGAGATGCTGACCATAAAAAATGGAGAGGTGAATGTAATAACTTGTTTCTCAGAGCAGCTGAGCATAATCAAAGAAACACAAACCTTTGATTTATTCAGAGCCCATCACGGTTGCAAGGGAAACTGCTGGATAAAGATTCATCTTTGGCCAAATGCAGACAATGACATCAAGCACTGCACACCTATCAGTAGGGCAAGCAGGTTTCTGTTTTTTCTAGAGTATAGGAACACACTGCAGGCTCTAGCAGATCATTGTCTTTTGGCAGATATCACAATATTTTTGTCTTTTTGTAAAATTTGCATCACCACTTCTTTCTCTATCCAAAGCATGCTCCACTTGTGGCTAAAATGGAAAGGATCTGTGCAACAGAGCACAACAGAAAGCTTGGTGACTACTACAAACACATCTACAAACAGATGGAAGAAAGTACATGTTAAAAACCAGCAGAGCAGAACCTGATTCCTTGATAAACAGCCACTGAGTTTGTAAGGCCAAAGCAAAGCAGGCTGTGGTTTTCAAGCCATCCTGCTGTCAGAGCTGTACCAAAAAAGAGCACTCCCTGCCCTGCTGCCGCAGTCATCTGGCTCCAAAACATCATCCATGCCTTCTCAGTTGTATCATTTGGGCTAGTAAATGTTATTTTCCTCTTGTATGCTTTTAAATAAAGCTGTCCTAAGCAGGACAGACCAAGCATTTTGTATGCACTGCCCATCTAAAAGCTGGAAGCCACTCAGGTTTGTGAGAGCCCTTATTTCTGCTTTTATCCTCTCTTGAAGAAGCAGCATCAAACGCAGCAAATCGAATTCCAGCCCTTGATGCTGCAGAGCAAAGGATGATGAGTCTCAGCCTGCCTTTGTCCCCATGATCAATGCCATTTGCCATATTCACCTTTCCCTTGGTTATCACTACACCACAAAATCCCAGCGGGTCAAGTTACTGCGCTGCTCACCTGGCTCTGCCCTATGCCATATGTTGGAGGCCCCCCCCTGATGAGGCCCTGGTGTAGCATTTCACCTCTGAGTGGGCATTTATCACAACGGAGACAGAGATGGGAGCAGCATCGAGACTGAAGGCAGCTGGGTTAAAAAGCATCATGAAGCAGCTTTGTGCTATGTTTTGTTTGCCCATGGAAGTCCTTCAGCCAAACAGAGCAGCAATGGTGAGTACTGAGGCTTCTTAAAGCCCAGAGCCCTCCCCAAATGTCACTGTGACCCAAAGAGACCAGCTTTAACCCATGCAATGAGAAGCCTCAGACATTTGGCAGTGTTCTGCTTTGCTGATCTGAGGAGCACGTGCCCATGGGTTTGGGTTTCTCTTTACCCTGCAGCTCCAGTAGCAGCACCCGGCTGCCGGCAGTGCTGCAGGAGGATGGAAGATGCCTGCAGGGACCCAGGGCATGCCCAGCACAGCTCTCCTGCCTCAGGATCCCCTGTGCTCCCAGGGCTGGGGATCTTGCCCCTGCTCCCTCTTCTCTTTGCGCCACTGTCTGTCTGTGTGAGCTCCCCTTCTGAGGTTGCCAAGGCACTGAATAACAGATGGGAAGAAACAAAGAGCCCGCAAGGAATAATTCCAGATGCAACTGTCCTCATGGGAAAAATATTCTATTATCCAGTGCCAGCGTTTGCCTTTCAGGGAAGGATAACTCAGTACAAGGTAATGCTATTCAATACATTTCCTGGTACAATCCTGCAGCAAAGACATTCACTTTAAGTTTAAGGGGAACTCACTAAAATTCTCCTTCTAGAAAGTGCCTCAGATGTATTAGAAACAGGTAGAACTGATAGCATAAATCTCACCATCTTTCACCTGCCAATGAAGCAGTTCCCTAGAAATAAACAACCTACATACATGTTTTATCTACCAGCTGTGTAAATAATGCAGGGTCTTGAAAATGGACATAAAGTGTTGCCACTATGGTAAAAAACACCCAAAACAAGTGCTACATGAAAAGCCAAGGCTCTGTGGTTTCTAGGATTTTCAAAAGGATCAGTTGTGCCCGTTTCTGAACTTTTGTCCAGCTAGAGCTTAACTGCAGTAGTAACACCATTTCTTATCACAAATTCTGTTTCTCTGCCATCCTCTAATGGAGCAGGTCACTTTAGCCAGTGGTGCAGATTTGCCAAAATGGTTGGAATTCAGCCCCAAAACAAACATGCTGCAAGGGCTGCCAATGGCAGGGGAGGGAGGAGCGTACCTGCTCAACCTTGCTGCCTCTGGAGGGGACCCTGACCAGGAAACACTGAGGGCTGCTGGAAATTTCACCATCCATGTGAAGGACAGCAGTTTATCCTTGGAAATGCAGAACTTGCAACACATGCCAAACAGCTACAGGTGAGTACTGCTGGCCTCAATGGCTTCTGCTCTAATCAGTGAGGGGAGAAAAAAATGGTATTTTTCAGAAAAAGAGATGGGGTGCTCCCTAATTGCCTCAGGGCGGGTTTCTTCCTGCTGTGGAAATGTGACATCAGGGAAACAAAAACAAAACAAAACCCCACAAAATATTGAACAAGTGCGTGTTGAATATAAAAGCAGGGGGCTTGGTTGTCCCAGAGCAACAGTGCACAGCAAACATGGGCAGGAAGACTGCAAGCCCTGCAGCACAGGGACAGTGATTCTCCATTGTACAGGTGGCATCCAGCCTCCCTGCTCCAGTTCCTAACTCTTCTGTGAGCAGGGAGAGAGGCAGGCACCCAGTGAGGCTCCAAATTGCCTCCACAAGACACTGATTGTTACCCTTGATGGTACTTTCTTAGTGTAAGTACCTACATTTGATGTCTAACAGACTGGGAATATCTCTGAAGTGAATTACTTCCACAATGAGGACAGCATTTGGAAAATTCAGCCCATGCTGCTGTGTTCTGCACAAGCAGTTGGATCAAACTTAGCAATCAGTGAAGTTAGTGGAATTGGGAACATTCATATATTCAAGGAGAGGGAAGTTTTGGATTAAGAGGTAAAATTTTGAGCAACGATTGACAAAATTCAAACAGGGATCTTCACAAAAACAGGGAGGGGTAAAAAGAATTACTCTTAACCACTCTAATTCTGGACTTTCAATGTCAGGTGTGGGAAGGAAGCTCCCATCACTTGTGCTGAAATCATTCTCTCTGCTGGAGCAGCAGCCCTGGAAGTTCGGGAGCGCCTGTCTGTGGTGTGCAGGATGGCAGAGTACCTGCACCTGGACAGTTCCCTGCTGACCCTGCTGCAGCACACAGGCCCAGCAGCCAGGGGCTCACATGTCCTGGCTGAGGACACCGGGCGCATCAACCTCACCACCAACCACTACGTGGGGCTCTCCTGGCCCGTCACGTGTGGGGGCTTTGCCCTGCTCCGTGAATTCATCCAGGTCTTGCAGCACAACATGAACTCACATCACCTCTCACGGCTGCTAGGGTATGAAATTGAAGGCTGGAGAATACTCAGGAGAGGGGAGTATGAAAGAAAGTCTCCAAGACTACACCGCAGGCAATTAATGATCACACCAACACCTTCATTAAAACCAACTAGAATTACCCAGAGACCAGCTGCAGGAGAGGCTTCCAGACCTTTGTTCATTCCTGTGCCAAGCCAATTACTCACACCACTCATGCTATCACCTACTCAGAGCTTATCAACTTTCTGTGCAGAAAGTATAACCATGGCAAGTTACAAGATGCAGAATGATAGCCACCTTGTAAGTCAGGAAAGCTTGATCACCTTAGAAATGGACTCAGCACAGGACATGCCAACTAACCCCACAGTTATGTTTGCAGACTCTCATTTCCCAGATCTTTCACCTTCACTGATGACTAAAACGAGGCTTCTCTTCTCTGAACTGGAAGTGCTGCCTGCTAGAGCTTCTGGTACATCGTTGATGTTAGAGCAGCCAGAGTCTCACGTGCCTGAGGTAGACTCCTATTTCCTTTCCAGTAAATCAGAGATATCCACATACCATCTCCTAGAGGACATCACTTCAGGCACAGAGCAGCTTTCCAGGCCATGGGTGATATATACTATTCAGGAGTGGCCTCAAAGCTCAGCAGTGGAATTTTCTCCCAAGACAGAATTACACTCATTTTTGCCAGGATCAATGTCAGTATCAGAAGTGCCAGATTACAGCAATGAGGCAGAAAGCCACTTTTCAGAACTTGAAAAGTTTTCTGATGCAACCCTCTGTCCAGAAGCACTCCCTTCACTATTCCAAGAAGCTTCAGTGAGGGCCACAACTTTGTCTGGCTTCACATCTCCCATCAAGGACACATTCCCAGCTGTCCTAGCAAGCAGCAGTCTGAGCCAAGTGTTCACTAATGGCTGTGAACCTCAATCTAAACCCTCTATGACTGTCCCACAGCCCAGTGGCTTTACATTTGATGGAGGGAAAAGCACAGCTTCTTCTGAGGCCCAAAGAGAAGCACAGACCCTCTATTCCAAATTGATTCTCAGTGCTGAAGCCTCAGCTAGCTTTCCTCACACATTAACCAGCACTGTCCCTGGTAAAACTGAAGCACCTCATGAACCAAGTCTGATCACTCTGTCCCATGCTGACACCACTCCAGTCCTTACTGTGCCAGAAGACTTTTCTGCCTTTCACATGTCCAGGCTATCCAGACCAGCAAATACATTTCCTCCTTACAGCAGCAGCATGCTCAGAACAGAGGCACAACCCACAAGGATTCTACCCAGTGGCACAGAGGAATTGCTTTCAGACAAAGATCTGGACACAAGTGGGATTTTGCCAAATGTCACTGAACCTACCTTGGAGTCACACAGCATTTCAGGCATCAAGCCAGATGCTGTAGAAACACCTCTGGTGACTTTATTTAATGCCACCTCTCACCTGCCCAGCAGCATACCAAGTATGTTTAAGATTTGACTTTCTTTTTTCCTCTTTCCTGCCCCGAGTCCTGCCAGAAAAGTTCAATACAGTTTCTAGTGCAAAAGCACAACTTTCCTGCACTAGGCATGTGCCAGCAGCAGTCTTCCCAATGAGGAAATGCAATTTTTTTTTGCTTAGCTGGGACCAGATAAGAGCTCAGCTGAATGATCAGGCCCAGCTTTGACCATCCTATCTAAGGAAAGATATGAATCCTTAAAAAAGCTCCAAAGGAACACAAGGATGGTCAGAGGTCTAGAAAACATGTCAAACTGAAATAATTTATCTAGAAGACAGAAAATACGTGGGTTTGTAAAATATTTTGTTTAAAAGATGAGAGGTGCTTTCTCAGAATCCCTTGGGAGCTAACACAGCACTAATGACATTCAAGTGCAGTTAAGATGATTTAAGTTAGACATTAGATAAACTTTCTCACAGTAAGGATGATAAAACATTAGAAAAGATGCTTGAAGAACATTGAGGAGGGTTTTTAAGAACTGAACAATAAATATTTATCAAAAATGACACAGAAATAGTAGAGTATCCTTTGGAGTAACACATTAGGCCAGATGCACTTTTTAGTGTGCCTTCTCCAACTGCATGAATCTGTGACTGGCTTAAGTGTATAGTAGACAAATAAAGATGGTTTGTTTGTAGTGCCAGTTGGGTACATTTGTGGGATTATGCCTTAATCACCTTACCTTAAATCTGTAAAAATGTACACATGGTACATTCTAAACAGTTATGAAGTGCAGAATTCAGAGCCCTTCAGAGACATCTTATTTGTAAACCTTTATTAGACCTGCTTTAACTCTGTACCCAAAGCCTAAGTCTGCAGACTGAGGTATTTAGGTTTGCAATCTGGTGTCCCAGCAAGCATTATATGGAGAGAGACTATTTTACAAGAGCATATGGGGTGTGACAGGACAAGGGAATGGCTTCAAACTGACAGAGAGAAGGTTTAGATTGGCTATGAGGAAGAAATGTTTTCCTGTGAGGGTGCTGAGGCCCTGGCACAGGTTGCCCAGAGAATCTGTGGCTGCCCCTGGGTCTCTAGCAGTGTCCTAGGCCAGGCTGGATGGGTCTGAGCAAGCTGGGACAGTGGAAGGTGTCCCTACCCATGGCAGGGGGTTGGAACTGGATGATCTTTAAGGTCCTTTCCAACCTAGGCTATTTTGTGATCTGTCAAAGCCCACAGATGGACAATACAGCCCTAACACATAATTGTTATTAGTGCTCTTGGAAGTTGAGGCCATGTAGAAACATTTAAAAAAAATAATAATAATAATCTTTTCTGTCCAGAGATAAAAGCCACTTGCATTCCCTCATTTTTTAAAGGGGAGGCTGAACTCCAGCCTGCTTCCCATGGTCCTTCCTGTGCTGGCAGAAATTGACATAGGTCTTTAATCTCATACCATAAAAGCTTTCAAACTGCATTCCCAACCCTGTAACACATTATTGACATAAGATTCCTTTTACATAGATCTAAATGACCTTTCACCTTAAACTGTAATGATCTCACTTTCACAGAGGTGGGTGAGACACTGCTGCCATCACACCTGGATCCAAGCACCCGGCTGTTTCCCTCATCTGAAAGACTACATTTTGTGGAAAGTGCGTGGATTCTTCCTCCATTTTCTGCTTCACAAGAGCTACAGACAGTAACCCAAGGTAAAAACAAGTTTACTTTTCTGTAACACAGCTTCTGAACACTGCTGCCATCCACCTTTTCATCCACCCTGCAAAGTGTCTCTGTTTCTTAGGTTTCCTGTACCAGAGCCCATGCAGTCCTCAGATTATCATGACCAAAATATTTGTGTCCTCAATTCGTCCCTCCCTAATATTTAGGTAATATACAAGGAGAGGATAATACAGGATGATTTTACATAGTTACACACTACTTTGATAGTCCTTGCCATAAAGTGTAGAAAGCACAAGTACACAAGATCCAGAAATGGCAGGAAGAGAGCTTGTGACCACTTTTGTCACAAGCTGCAGGAACTCCACGTTCTGATCCTTCACTTCTTGAGCCTGGCAGCAGACTTCACCTGACAGTCACAGGGAGATTTCCTTCCAAATTTGTCCCCACACTTTATTATCCTCCAGCTTACCTGGTGTCTGCTCCCAAATTCTCTGGAACTCTTCAAACCAGGCAGATGTGAAGCATTCACGGGAATCCCATCCCAAGCATCCATACTCATAAAATCCCCCCCCCCCCCAAAAAAAAAATCCATGGTTAATGTTGGAAATAGAAGATGAAACAGTACATGTTGTGGTATTTTTGTGTGAATGTTACTAGAATTAGATGTTATTGTTTGGGAAGGGGCTATACAAGACCTGACTGATATTTTGAACTAGACAAAACAGCACTGAGGATATTTATAACTCTTTAAATAAACAGGTATTAAATATGCTTAACAAATGAGGTTAAGATGTGATCAAGGATAAGACTTTACTGATAAAAGTTTAAGTTTCAGTTTCAGTACACTCCACAACCCTGAGACTGACAAGATTTCTCTGCCATCACTCAGCAAGAGATAGCAGTATTTTCCTCCTAATTCATTCCCTCCCTTTTCTCCCTCCTCTCTAAAGGGCAAGCAAACACTTCCCCAAAGGTTGCTCATTCCATTAAATTCCTAGCAGCAACCATCGGACGCCTGTTCTTTTTCCCTATACCCGCCAACACATTTGATGACAAGGAAGACGGCAACTCCACTCAGTTATCCCTACAAATCCTCCCAGCTGATGGCTCTCTGTCGGGATCCACGAGCTGGCTGCAGTTTAACACCTCCCAGCAGGCCATGCACGGCTATCCCCTAGAGATGGACTTCCAGTATTCCCCTCAGGAGTTTGTGCTGTCTGCCACAGATTCCGGAGGTCTGACAGCCTGGCAATCCTTCACCATCTGCGGACCAAGAACAGCTACTCCTCTTTCCTGAGGGAGAGGAAAAGGGTGGGTTTGTTCCTGGAGAAGCTCTCCCTCTTCCTGAACTCCAGGAGCCCCAAGGACATTGTGCTGACAGCTCTCCAGCCCGGCTCCACGCTCATCTCCTGGTACAACAGCTCACTCTGTGTAAGTGCCAACAGATCTTCCAGCTGGTGCGGGAAAGACGAAATCCAGCAGGCACTGGAGAAACTGAGAGTGCCAGCTGGGTCTGTGAGCCCACAGTTTGTCCAAGCAATGCTGCCAGAGTACAGAATCGATATGACTTTTGGCATTTCCTACACTGAGGACTGCCCAGCCAGCACAAAGCCGTTCCCCAGGCCTTGCAGCAGCACTGGGCCGACACTCCAAGCCAAGAACGACTCCAAGATGCGGAGCCCCCGTGCCTTACTGAGCAGTGTTTTTGCCACTGCTGGCGTGGGGCTGGCAATAGTGGTCTGCTGGCTTTGCAGGTGTCCCAGGAGGATTCCTGGAGCACAGCCTGTGATGCTTCAGACAAACTCCCAGCTAAGCCACACTAATGTGGAACTGGATGCCCTGAGACCTCGTAAAGTCCCTGTACATGAGTGCAGGGCTTCACTTTCACCTCCATTATGGATCTCACCTTCAGGACCACTTCCCTCCCATGAGCAGCATGCCAGGACGATCCCTCACATCATACCACCTTTCCAGCCACCAAAATACCGACTCCCTCCCCACTACCCAGAAGCTCTGACCACCCACCACAACCAGGGCAACATCCAGAGGCTTAAGTCTTAAATTAAATGGTATTAAGAGCAAATCTACAAAAAGACAAATTGCATTACAAGGTGCTATCCTTAACACTCACAAAAAAACAACATAAACAGGCAGTAAGTGATTTTTACTATGTTTTGATTTACAATAGGATTTATTTGAGCCACACCTGACAAAGAGGCAGTGGCAAAAGCAGTATCCAAGTGAAGCAGGCAAAGGCACTGCCTGCTGAAAGGGTAGAATTACAATCCTGTGAAAGTCAGGACAAGAAAATACACATCAAGCTGATGCTGGTGGGAACAAGGGGCCACAGTCAGTGCTGAGCAAATCGCACTCCATTATGTCTCCCTGACTCAAATATACATTTTACACAGAAGAGGCAGAACTGTCACAGAAGAATCACCACAAAACATGATGGTTCCATTGAAATTCAGAGGTGCCACAACCTCAGTGTGTCTAGGGCATCTTGGAATTTTAGAATTTTTTTTAAATGCCTGACATTGTGTCTTGTCCTTTCAGTCTTTCAAAGCTTTTTAAAGTGTTTCTATAAACACATCATACGTAGCATTTCTAGAGGCAATAGTAGCTATTGAACTCTTCCTGCTAGGTACTTTGGCACAATGTACCTTTAAAGATACATTTCAAAGCTCCAGGCTTGCCTTCTTTACAGTAAAACCTGTCTCTTGTCTGCTTCCACCTGGGATAGTTCTAGGACAGCAGAGAATTCCTGAAGTTCTGCAAAAGAATTTCTGAGGACTTTTTAAACACTTTGAAATCCTTCCAGTTTAATAGATTATCATATAAAAAATGCAATCCATAATTTAATCATGAACTGCATTTTGCAATCACATAATTACAGATTAAGCTACTTAAGCTCTTTTTAGAACTGACAAAACCTTCCCTAAACTTGAAAGCTGAGTGTGAAATTGGAGCCAAGCAGCACCAGCACCGCTATGCAGGACAGCAGAGTATGGAATGCTGTTTCCAGAACTGCAAAGATCAACCCTTGCAGTCTCTTGTGTCCCTGTGAGACTCTTAAAGCACGTGAAATACGGACCCACAGTCACCAGACCCTACTCATCACCAACCAGTCTGACCTGGCAGATGCTCCAAATGTGGAGAACGGAGTTAGTAAACAAACTAAACAAACACATATTTTAATAGCAGGTGCTAATAAATTTCTCTTCTGCTAATGAAATATTTAATTCTTGTGCATATTTTCAAGGAGTGCAGCTGAATATTAATGGCACATGAGGAGATGTAACACACAATCCAAGGCACGGGATGAGATTTTCAGCTCTAGTTCTCCAGCCTAGCAAATTGCAGAGCTGACATTTACACGCTCCCCAGCTTCTAGACTTAAAAGTTCCTCTAGTAAACAAGAGAAACATCCAGAGTGATATGCAGTAAAATCTCATTAAAACAACCTAGAAAGTTATGAGAAGCAGTAATTTTGTGGCTTTTTTCTCCATCAAAACATTTCAGCTAGGATATCCAGAGATGTGGTGATGCAGGACATTCTTTTTTCAATGAAGCAGTAAAAATATAAGCAATAAAAGTCTTCAGACTAGGATCTGCAAGGTACACATTGCTTCTGTGAAAGCTAAAAATGTTTCACAATATGATAGAAAATATTACCATGCAAGTACTATTTAATCACTCAGTAAAAATGGTTCTAAAATCATTTTACAGAAAACACACCTGCATCAGAGTGGCTGAATAATCACCTTGAAATCATTCCTGGTACTTTAGCAGAGCTGAATAAAGGACTCAGTCACAAATGTTAAGTGAAGAATATTTGTGTTCAGATCTATACATCATGAACTATGGTATTTAAAGTTGCAGGTGAATATATTGATTTAGTTTTAGAAAATTTCAAAGATGTGTCTCACATCAACTTTAAGATATCAAATCTGTGAGCCCTTCAGTTGCTTACAGAAGCCAGATGCAGATCAGAGGAAGGCTGACACACTTGGGAGAGCTCAGGAATTCATCTTTCCTTAGCCCATGTGGAAGACAACTCAAAATCTGACAAGGGTTCAGATCACAGACATCGGATGAGTTTTCCCAGTTGAGAATTCTACTCCCCAGTGAAAAAGGTTCTGCTCAAAGAAACTGAAGACAGATTACCTACTTTTTCATTCACAGTCATTCATACTCAGTCTCTCAGACCTGTAACCCCAAGTATTTTACAGAACACACTTCATCAAAAAATAATTATTAGCAAAAAACTTTATTGTACTTTTGCTTACAAAGCTCAACTCTAACACAACAACCTGAAAGGTCTTGCTTTCTAAAGACCATTTCTGTTCCATTTTTTGAAAGTCCTTAAGCCAACAATTTTTATTTGTAAAACCCTTCACCCTCCCACTCCTCAGATGAAAACCAAGACTGGCACTCTCTCAGCTCAGTGTCTGGGTACTCAGTGTGCGGTCTTTTCCATAATTCTGAGCTCCTGAGGAATCCTCATATAAATAAAAGGTACCCATGAAACAATTAATGATGTTAACAGCTTATCATAAATCACTTGAATTTAATTATTTTTTTTTTTTAGACAGTCATCATTGATTTTGAAACAGTATCCAATACTTCTGGGCAAGGACTTGAAGCTGACTAATGTTTTTAATTACTTGATTTACTCCATGGCAGCAGAGGTTGTCTTCATCTGAAAGCATGACTGGAAAACACTTCAGGACAGCTCCTATTTGCACACAGCTGGTTTAACGTGATATACAGATTTCATACTTCATAGCAAAAATAGGACTAGAAAAATGTAAAAACCAATCAAACCAGAGCTATACAGTTGTATTGAAACAGTACCAAATGCAATTCCAGCATTAAATATTTTTGCAATTTGGCCAAATTTTGTCCCAAGAAACAGAATTAATCCTCACTGTCGGCCTGCTTTTCCATTTTCTGTTGCTTCCATTCTGAAAGGCAAGACAACAATTGGTAAGGCTATTACTGCAAGAACAAATGACTTCATATTTTTTACTTCACTAACTGTCCTGTCTCTCCCTACCCTAATGTAAGCAATCTTAATACTTCTTTAAGCAGCAGTGCGTATGTGAAGGAAAGATTTCAGCAGAGATGCTGTGAAAAACCATCTATTATCAACTTCACCAAAATACAAAATGTTCATGTGACTGGAGAATCCATTTTGAAAACTTAAGCTTTGGCTATTTGTTCCAAGGGCTTAATTTGCACCCCTCTTACACTAATCATTGTCTACCAAAATCTGATTTCCTTCAGAGGAGGCTGGTTTAGTTTTCCAGTACTTTTTGTAGAACACGGACCACTGTCAACTTCCATTACAGCACAGCCTAAGATTCAATCATTTATTACCAACAATATTTCTGTATCAGCCATTCCTTTGGAAGCTACAAGAAGCAGAAAATCTCAGCTACTGTTTAACTCCCTGAGACTTAATAAGAGTTTTGCTGTAGGGGCAATCCCTGAAGCCCAGGGAAGCCCAGCTCTTAGCAGTCAGGCTCGCTCAGCACAGATGAAAAACAGAAAATCAAACACTGCTGTGGTTCTCTATCAATGTTGAAAAGCAAAGAAATGTATTTAGGTATTTTAATCATCAAAAGAACAGTATCTAATGCTGTAAGCTCCACACTGACTACTGCCAAGATATGGGTAGTGATGCATTTCCTGATACACACCCATTTTCTTCTTTCAGATGTTGATACAGCTCAGCTTTGTTGTTGACAGAGTTCAACCGACCAATAAATTCCTGGTGTTTCCTAGAGTTGGCAGTATTAATTCTGTTGCTCCATAAAGACAGCAAGGACATTGGCCCTGAAATTTTAAGTAAAAAGAGTCTAAGCGATGAAATTTTTGAATTAACATTACATCATTATAACATCTTAAAGGAATTACAGATTATGGTAATACAACACATTAAAACCACTAACATTAAACAAACTTAAGTTAGGGGCAAAATAAATAGAAAATATGCAAAGTGATAATGGCTGAGGAGTTGCTGCACATGATATGGACTCTGCTTTAAATGCAGAATCTCAGCATCAGTTCACCCACTGTGACAGAAAATAATTCACACCAAGGAAGAGAAGTCAGTGAGAACTGCCCATTCTGACAACTGCACTGCTTAGGCAAGTCGATTAGTTATTAGCAGAAGACAGTGATTTCTGATACCTGCCCTCAAACAGCATTTCTCACATAGACCGGCTCAAAAAGCACCAGCAGGAACTTGGCCTACCCCCTGTCAACCCAAGAGTTGATAACCAGACCCACACAGTGTCTTGGTATCTCCCTTTCTTCACAGACCTGGTGAGGTTAACATGTTTCCCAAGAATTTCTAAACAGCTAAACATGATCTTCACTGACTTAGCTTTAATTCTAAAATGATTCACATCATTACTTTAGAAAACACAGACTGATGCAACAGCATCTAACTTTAAAAGAAATAATCTGTTGCAATTTTTCTGGTTTACCTTTTGCCTTTTCAACTGTGGGCATTTCATCCATTGTAATGAGAGGCTTTTTGTTGGGGGGCTCAGGAGAATCAGGGGAGTCTTTGATAACTTCAGCTTCTGCCAGTTCTTCTTTCTCCCGATCCAAAAGACCTTTTAACCTTTGTCATAGGGAAGGAAAAGGATGAGGGAAAATATGCTTGAGTGGGACATAATTCTTGATAGCTTTCTGTACTCCTCAAAATTATACAGGACCCATACCATAAGAAAATTTCTTTTGGCTCCTTGGAGTAGGTGACAAACAATAAAGCATTCTAGCCAAATAATACTCTGTATAAAGCATTACATAAAGGAAAGGCTCTTAATACAGAGTTTCACTTCAGTTGTTGAGACAATTGATGTCTGAATTTTGAAGGAAAGACTAAATAAAAAATATATATAGAAATATCATACAATTTCCTATTCTATTTTCTAGGTGAATTCAGATCCATTCACACCAAATCCCTTTTATTTGAGCCCCCATCTCTGATCCACATGTGAAAGCAAAGTTGTAGGAATGACCTTTGAAGAAAGGCATGGAATGTC